CTATCTTTCGGCAGATTGTTTCTATTTTATATTTAGATCTTTGATCCATTTTGATTTTAGTTTGGTGCATGGTAAGATATATGGGTCTAGGTTTAATCTTCATCATGTTGAAAGCCAATTTTCCTAGAACCACTTATTAAATAGGCTGTCTTTCTTTTGGTAAATGTTTTTGGCCTCTTTGTCAAAGATAAGGTGTCTGAGTGTGTTTGGAGTTGTTTCTGCATCTTCTGTTCCATTGATCTTCAGGGTTTTTTGGTTTTTTGGGTTTTTTGCCCAGTACCATGCTGTTTTTATCATAGTAGCTTTGTAGTGTAATTTCAAATTGGGGATTGTGATGCCCCCTGCCTTAGCTTTGTTGTCCAGAATTGCTTTTGCTATTCTAGGTCTCCTCTTCTGATTCCAAATGATTTTAGGATTATTTTCTCTAGTTCTGTAAAGTATGCTATTGGTATTTTGATCAGGATTGAATTAAATATGTACAACAATTTTGGGGAGTATGGTCATTTTCACTATATTGATTCTGCCTATCCAAGAACATGGGATATATTTCCATTTTTTAATGTTCTCTTTAATCTCCTTTTTTCAGAGTATTGTAGTTTTCAATGAAGAGGTCTTTTACTTCCTTTGTTAGGTTGATTCCTAAGTATTTCATTTTTCTCAATTCTGTTATGAAAGGTGTTGTTTCCCTAATTTCTCTGTCAGTGAATTTGTTATTTGTATACAAGAACACTATTGATTTTGGAGTGTTGACTTTGGATCCTGCTATGCTACTCAACTTGGTTATTAAATTAAATTTGGTGGAGTTTTGGGGTCTTCTATGTGGAGTATCACATCATCCAGAAACAGTGATAATTTAACTTCTTCATTTCTTATTCATGTTCCTTTTATTTCTTTCTCTGATCTAATTGCTCTGGCTAATGTTTCCAGAACTATATTGAACAGGACTGGTGATATTGGGCATCCTTGTCTTCTTCCTGATTTTAGAATGAAAGCTTTCAGTGTTTGACCATTTGGTATGATGTTGGGTGATGATTTGTCTTAGGCGGCTTTTAATCATATCCAGATAAAGACCTTTAATTCCAATTTTTTGTAGGATTTTTTTCTTATCATTAATGGGTGTTAGACTTTGTCAAATGCTTTTTCTGAATCTATTGCGATAGGGGCTGGGGATTTAGCTCAGTGGTTCTGCTGCCTACCTTGAATCTATTGTGATAACCATGTGGTTTACATCCTTGGTTCTATTAATATGGTATATCACATTTATTGATTTGTGTATGTTGAACTACCCCTGCATCCCTGGATGGATCCTACTTGATCATGGTGTATATTCTTCTTGATGATTTGCTGTATCTACTGAGGATTTTTGCATCAATGTTCACTAGAGAGATTGGCTTGTAGTTTTCTTTTTTGGTTAAATCCTTCTCTGGCTCTGGTATCAGAGTAATATTTGCTCTTCCAGGAATGACTCTAGGAGTTTTGCTTCCCTTTCAATTTCATGAAAGAGTTTGAGGAACTTCTCTGAAGTTCTTGTAGAATTCAGCAGTGAATCTGTCAGGGCCAGGACTTTCCTTTGTTGGAAGTTTTTAAAATTACTTCTTCCATTTCATAGGCTGATACTGAGTTATTTAGAATTTTCATATCTTCTTGCTTCAGCTTTGGTAATTCATATGTATCTAGGAATCTGCCCATTTCTTCTGAGTTTTCTATCTCATTAGAGTACAGTTTCTCAGAGCTGGCTTTGGCAGCATATATACTAAAATTAGAGTGCAGGTTCTCAAAGTCAGTATTATTGTTGATTTTTAAGACAGGGTCTCACTATATCATCTAGGCTAGCCTTAAACTCACTGTGTATCCCAGGCTGGCTGTGAACTCTGATCTAATGTAATTGTTTTATGTTTACATGTTTTCTTACTGGTTAAACTTCTTGCAGCTGCTTCAATAAAATAATTTTTGAGTAAAAAAAAAAAAAAACCAAAAAACAAAACTCCAAACCTATCCTTGTTCTAACTGCATAACTTTTCTAATCAATATTACATTTGTGCCATTTTTTGCTTGTTTTTCACGTTAGCCTTTGAGTTCTGACTATGTGGTGGAACCCACTTCTATAAATTCATCCCTGACCTCCCGTGAAATCCCAAAGCATTTCACGGTTCCTTGTCTCCCCTGTAGCTTTTGCCTACTGTCCACTTTCTTCTCCTTAAACCTGCTGCTGTGACTTCACACCTTGCCAAGCATTGCTCTTTGCTTCAGATTCTCCTTGCCTTGAGGCATTTAGCCTGTGTATGATTTCCATAAACACATTCCATTCTGCACGTCTGGGCTCTCTTGCACTTTGTGCTAACAGTTGCCTCAAGAAACACAACATAATAAACAAACGAACAAAAAAACCACCACTTTACCCCGTGAAAGTCTCCTGTCTGAAGTCTGAAATAGAAATTTCTTCAGACACAATGGCCTTAAGGAGTGTTGCGTGTGCGTATCTTTTATGTTTGTTTGTTTGTTTTGAGGCGGGGTCTTACTATGCAGTTCAGGGTGGCTTTAACTCACTAGGTAGCCTAGGCTGGACTCAAATTTGCAACTATCCTGCTTCAGCCTCCCAACTGTGCCATCATGCCCAGGGCTTAAGGGCAAATTGTAAATTTTCAAACTCTTCAAAAATAGTGTTGTTCCTCACCTCCTCCCCTGGGTAACAGACTGAGTAAATCATCCTTTTTTCTCTTCACTTCACGGTACAGTACTAAAATACTACTGCGGGGGAGCAAGCAAAAGGGTTTTTTGTATTGTTATTGCTGTTTATGAATTAGCAAATTATTTTCTAGCGTCTCTGTCTTCTTCCTTATTCTCCTACCTTCTACAATTTTGAGGAGTCCCTAGGGAAAGTGAATGGAGGAGGAAGCCAGTATATTGAGCTGTTCCACCTTTAAAACTTTTCTTTTTCTTTTCTTTTCTTTTCTTTTCTTTTCTTTTTTTTTTTTTTTTTTTTTTTTTTTTTTTTTTTTTTTTTTTTTTTGAGACGGGATCTGGCTATGTAGTTCATTCTGAACTTGGAGCTCAGGTGATTCTCTTGCCTCAGCCTCCCTAGTGCACTACCTCGCCTGGCCCAAATTTATTTTCAACTGCACTTAAAACTTATTTGGGATATCAGCTTATGTATTTAAGACAAAATGCGTATGTGTGTGTGTAGTGGGGAATAGGTTCTCACCAAAAGGGTGAGAGCCACTACACCTTCCGTGTGTGTGTGTGTGTGTGTGTGTGTGTGTGTGTGTGTGTGTGTGTGTGTGGAGGGGGAATGCAGTTTGGGGTGTCAGATCTGCTCCATAAAACGTCAATACCAGAGGCACAACCACCTTCAGTAGCCTGATCCTGTGATTTGAGGAAAGCTCAGGGTTAGAAAGCACAGCAGCTGTCAACTTTGTGACCTTAAATCCATTACCTCTGATTTTATCCTCTGTCACTTTACAGAGTTGTTGAAATGAAATAATCTAAGTAAAAGTATTCTGAGAAATAACAGGGCTGGTTTGTTTGAATTGGCACACCGCTCAGCTAGATTCCCACCCAAGGGGCAACCTTTTCTTGCTCCCCTCACCGCTCTCCTCCCTCCCAAGCCCCGCAGACGGCAGCTGGAGGCCGCTGCGGGTTATCTCCATGGCAACCGCTGCGCCTCCCGGGCCCCGCCCCCTCCCTCCCAGAGGACCGGAAGCTTCTGGGAGCCCGGCCCTTCCTTAGGTTTTTCCCCGCGTGGCTGCTCCTGTCTTTCCACGCCTGGAGGTGAGAGGTGAGGCCTCCTCAGGCCCATAGACCGCGGGCAGCAGCCGTGGGGCCGGG